GCCATTTCTCTGGAGCCGTGAGGATCATCCAGCCCCACCCTTTAATTTACCGTCTGGTGGGGCCTTGTTTCGGCCAATGACCTCTTTAGCATAGGAAGAGCAGAGCAACGTCCTTCTCTTCACCTTCGTCTTCACGCAAACTGGGGAACGCAAGAGAGCCACGTGATGGAGGGCGGAGCGTTCCTCAGTGATTGAGCTCAGCCATCAACGACGTAGACTGAAGCACCTCCCACTCTCTGGATGATCCTCACGGCTCCAGAGAAATGGCGTGTCAGGTAAGAACCAACGCCCATTTCCATCTCCAAATATGCAATTGCCTCTTCTAATTTCTTGTTCTCTCCCATTAATTTCTGTTCTATTGATTCTACTTTCTTATCTGTTTGTTCGACCTTTGCCTCCATTCCTTTCATTTTATGTTCTGTCTTTACTACTGTTTGTTGGATTGTACTTATCTTCTCGTTTCCATATTTTACCTTTCATTTCCCCCATTTCAGTTTTAAAGTCTGCGTGGTTTCTCACCATGGTTTCTTGTATTGTTGTTAATGCCATTTGAATTGTTTGCATATTTGATACCTGACTTGCCTTCTCAGGATTCAGCATGTCCTCTATGGAACATTGTCCTGCTGGTGATGTTATCATTGATGTTAGGTTGGATGTTGTTTTCTTCCCAATCTTAGCGGTAGTTGTCGTGGTGGACATCTTAGGCTTCCCAAATCTACTTATTTTCTTAAGAAAGTCTTTCAATATTATCATCCATTGTATCAACTTTTTCTATATATATATTTTCGTAGATTTTCATGGGTACAGGTATGTAGGTCTAGGTGTGTTCGGGTCTTTTCCTATGTAAGATTAAGAGTATCTTGGTGACTTTTCGGCGAGGTCCCACTCTCCATCCTCAGGCTGGTGCTTTCGGCTTCGTGCCAGCGCAAGCAGTGTGTAATCGGAGCTGCTGTCTCTTTAGAAATACTGGTGGTGGGGGCTGGTGTGCTGGGCTGGTTGGCTGCACTGCTGCCTCTTGATTGGTTGATGGAGTTGATGTTGGTATAATGGGCTGTGTGATGGCCTTGTGAGTTTTGTTGTGGAGATATCCTGGATTAGCCTCCTGTGTAGTAACGGCTTGGGTAATGGGTCATCACACAACCCATTACCCAAGCCGTTACTACACAGGAGGCTAATAGAAAAGAGATCAAAACACAAACGACCCAGGAAATTACAACGCAGGACCCAGGATACCACAACAAAAGAACTCGCAAGCCCATCACACAACCCATTACCCAAGCCATTAAAACACGAGAGGCTAATGGAAAAAAGATCACTACAAAACAAACGACCCAGGAGATTACAGCACAAGATCCATGATATCTCCACAACAAAACTACAGACGAACACAATACAGAAGCCTGATGATGGCAGATGAGATTCTGCCGAAACGTTGCTACAACTTTAAAAGCACAACTACAATGACGTGGGAAAATACCCGAACAAAGCTGAATACCATACATGTAAGTACCCGCGAAAACTTAAGAAAACATGTATGTATGTATGTATGTATACAACAATGTAAAACTAAGTATCATTATTGTTTATAATCTATGATAGTCTGTAACCCTCTTAATTTTCTAATCTTATTTAATCCTTTTAATAAATTAATTAAGTATAGTTCTAAATACACTGCTCAAAAAAATAAAGGGAACATTTAAACAACACAATGTAACTCCAAGTCAGTCACACTTCTGTGAAATCGAACTGTCCACTTAGGTAGCGACACTGATTGACAATCAATGTCACATGCTGTTGTGCAAATGGAATAGACAACAGGTAGAAAGCATAGGCAGTTAGCAAGACATCCCCAATAAAGCAGTGGTTCTGCAGGTGGTGACCACAGACCACTTCTCAGTTGCTATGCTTTCTGGCTGATGGTTTGGTCACTTTTGAATGCTGGCGGTGCTTTCACCCTAGTGGTAGCATGAGACAGAGTCTACAACCCACACAAGTGGCTCAGGTAGTGCAGCTCATCCAGAATGGCACATCAATGCGAGTTGTGACAAGGTTTGCTGTGTCTGTCAGCGTAGTGTCCAGAGCATGGAGGCGCTACCAGGAGACAGGCCAGTACATCAGGAGACGTGGAGGAGGCCGTAGGAGGGCAACAACCCAGCATCAGGACCGCTACCTCCACCTTTGTGCAAGGAGGGACAGGAGGAGCACTGCAAAATGACCTCCAGCGGGCCACAAATGTGCATGTGGCTGCTCAAACGGTCAGAAACAGACTCCATGAGGGTGGTATGAGAGCCCGACACCGTGCAGGACATTTGGCATTTGCCAGAGAACACCAAGATTGGCAAATTCGCCACTGGCGCCCTGTACTCTTCACAGATGAAAGCAGGTTCACACTGAGCACGTGGCAGACGTGACAGGGTCTGGAGACGCCGTGGAGAATGTTCTGCTGGCTGCAACATCCTCCAGCATGACCGGTTTGGCAGTGGGTCAGTAATGGTGTGGGGTGGCATTTCTTTAGGCGGCCACACAGCCCTCCATGTGCTCGCCAGAGGTAGCCTGACTGCCATTAGGTACCGAGATGAGATCCTCAGACCCCTTGTGAGACCATATGCTGGTACGGTTGGCCCTGGGTTCCTCCTAATGCAAGATAATGCTGGACCTCATGTGGCTGGAGTGTGTCGAGTTCCTGCAAGACAAAGGCATTGATGCTATGGACTGGCCTGCCCGTTCCCCAGACCTGAATCCAATTGAGCACATCTGGGACATCATGTCTCGCTCCATGCACCAATGCCACATTGCACCACAGACTGTTCAGGAGTTGGGGGATGCTTTAGTCCAGGTGTGGGAGGAGATCCCTCAGGAGACCATCCGCCACCTCATCAGGAGCATGCCCAGGCGTTGTAGGGAGGTCATACAGGTACGTGGAGGCCACACACACTACTGAGCCTCATTTTGACTTGTTTTAAGGACATTACATCAAAGTTGTGTTTTTTTCTACTTTAATTTTGAGTGTAACTCCAAATCCAGACCTCCATGGGTTGCTAAATTTGATTTCCATTGATAATTTTTGTGTGATTTTGTTGTCAGCACATTCAACTATGTAATGAACAAAGTATTTAATAAGAATATTTCATTCATTCAGATCTAGGATGTCTTATTTTTGTGTTCCCTTTATTTTTTTGAGCAGTGTATAATAGCTTATATAGTAAACATATATAATTCAATAAATATAGTTAAATATGTGTTTGATTGTTTTCTTATATACGATATCTTATAACTTTCTTATCGTTCAATTAAGTCTGTGAATCTATAGCCATTAATTAGTTGTACATCAATTGATTAATTAGCTGTTATCCAAGGTATCAAATTGTGGAAAGATATAAAGAAAATATAGGTTATAACAGTTATAAAGAGTGTAGCAATCTATGAAATAGGATATATAAATTTATTCTACTTGCAAGCAATCAGTATAATATATTAATCAGTTTAATATATTGCTTTAGTTTTTCTTTCAATATACACTTTTGAATTTAATACTTAGAAATTATTCAGCTTTCTTCTTCTTCTTTTCCCTTCTGCACACCGTCACATTACTTTCCTCATTTCCTGTTTCCTCAGTCCCCTTTTAACTACTTAATCACTTTCACTCTCAAATTGCACAGTCACAGCTTTCTACCAAAATGGTTCCACTCTCCATTCAACTACAGTTCTCCATTAAAGTTCCAATTGTTCTCTCTAATGTCTCTTTTCTGCTCTACCAGTAATCAATCCAAATCATAGAAATTTTGAGTTTTTATTCAGAGTCTCGATCTTTTCTTCTACGGTACTCTGTCTCAGCTGTTAAACTGTTGTTTCCTCCTCTCCCTTTCGCTCCGCTATCCCCCGCCAATTAGCCGCTGTATTCACTCTCTCCAGAGGTTCCCTTGGTCAAAGTCTTTCAAAGGGCTCTCTCACCTCTCAAAAACTGTCCCAGTCTGCCGTTCTCCTTCTGATGTCTTGCATTGATCCACTTTCCTGCTTCCCGATTCGCATCTGGCTGTCACAGCTTCGGACCCACCATAGATGCCGAGTTTCTTTCGCGCCGGATTCATGGAAGCTGGCTGGGAATGTCACAAATGGCAGTCGGGGCCACAGGACACCACAACGAATTTTAACGTGCCCGCATTTTAATCACATGACTGGGGAACACTGTAAACGGTCACAAGTGTGAGGACCGGTCATTAAATTGATTTTTTCCAGTGCTGTTGTAAGCTTGAACGGTCACTCAATGAGGGGTTGTAAGTTGAGGACTACCTATAAAGCCTTGGGTCATTAGAAGGTCATCAGAGTCATCCCAGAATTGGATGTTACGGGTAGTCCGCAACTTACAACCATTTGGTCAACCACCGTTTCAAGTTACGATGGCGCTGGAAAATGGGACTTAACTGGTCCTTGCGCGTGACCGGTGGTCAGGGGATCGCGACTTTCCCAGCCTGGGTCCGACAAGCCAAGTCAATGGAGGAGATCTGGATTCGCTTAACGACCACGTGACTTGCTTAACGACCATGGCAAAAATAGGTTGTAAAATTAGGCTGAGTCCTGCGTGAGAGCTCATTTAACGACCCGCCTTGCTTTGTAACAGAAGTCCTGCTTCCAATTGTAAGTCGAGGACTGGACCTTGAGTTTGACACCCCTGGTATATAGGATTGGGTTTTTTTTTCTAAGACCTAAACCAGCTCCCCCTCCCAACCCCCTTTCCCATCTCTCCCCAGCTCCAATTCGCAGAGCCCGTCCCTTCCCAGCAGCTCCATCGCCTACAGCCTTCTGAGTGCCAGCTCGGAGCAGGACAACCCCTCCACCAGCGGCTGCAGGTAAGCTGGGATGGGCAGGTGAGGCCTCCCCAGGTGTGCAGAATGCACCTGCAGGTGTGCAACGCATCTCTGGAGAATGGGCGGTGCAGGAACATTTAGCAGTGAGAGAGACCAAAGCTGGGGGGGTGGGATATGAATTTTATCCCCCTGCCTCTGGGTGCTCTTTGCTTCCTCTCCAAGGAAGTAAATAAGAACATGGACTTTACTCCAAGGAAGTAAATAAGAATATTTACAATTATGTGACACTTTTTTTACGATTGGTGGACTTCCACTCCCAGAATTCCTGAGCCAGGGTGGTTTAGCATGGCTAGCTGAGGAATTCTGGCAGTTGAAGTCCAGAGGTCGTAAAGGGGCCATAGGTACCTACCCCTGTTATAGAAGAATATAAAGATAATTGGGGAAAAGATGGGTAATGACATGATAACCATTTGACTGGGATTGTATAAGGGTATCTTCTGCCTTGAGCGGAGGGGTGGGCTACAAGACCTCTAGGGTCCCATCCAACCCTATGTTAAATGACATCACAGCAACATGAAGGAACAGAGCAAAAGGGATACTTAATCTGGGTCGAGATTAATATTTTTGTTTTTATTTTTAGTTTATTTAATAAGTGGATTTGCCACTCATCAAAGTATCAAGGGAGTTTTAGTGCCTTATTCTCAATAATAGCATAGACAATTAAAATAGAAATATTGAAACCGAGAGCATTAACATTAAAAAAATGAACAACAAACTACAGCTAATCCTCGGCTTAGCCGTGGTGTGATGGCCTAGAGGCGGACCTCTCGCCTCACAATCAGGAGGCTGTGAGTTCGATCCTGGGTACAGGCAGATATTTCTCTTTCTCTGGGCACCCTGAGAATATATCTGCTGAACAAAACTGCACTGGCGACAGGAAGGGCATCCGGCCCTTAAAAAACACTGCTAGCTCCATTCTGTTGCCCAGACTCCACCCTGCAAGGGATTATGGGGTCGTTAAAAGATGATGATGATTGTATGACAGAGAAACAACACAGTCTAGTTGGGATGTAGTAGATGACCGCCTCTCGTTCTTTGCCCCCCCTGCAGCAGTGAGCAGTCGGCCCGTGTGAAGACGCAGAAGGAGCTGATGAAAGCCCTCAAAGAGATGAAGATCCGTCTGCCCTCTGAGAAATGCAGCAAGGGGAAGTCGGGCACGCTGGCCACCCTCCAGTATGCCCTCTCCTGCGTGAAGCAGGTCCAAGGTAGGTCTTTTGCCACTGAGGGGGGGCATTGCCAGTGGGGCATTGCCAGTGGGCAGAGACGGCTTGACCGGCTTCTTTATAAAGAATTGGACAGCCTGAACTGCCTTATTATGTTTTCTCATAATATAAAATGTTTAAAAGTCTTAAGTGATTTTCAACCTGGGGTGCTTTTAAGGTGTGGGGACTTCAATTCCCAGAATTCCCCAGCCATAATTCTGGGAGTTGGAAGTCCATACTGTTTAAAGCATGCTGGCTGGGTAATTCTGGGAGTCAAAGTCCAACCGTCCATGTTAAAGCAGGCTGGCTGGAAAATTATAGGAGTTGAAGGCCATCCATTTTAAAGCACCCTGACTAGGGAATTCTGGGAGTTGAAGTCCACCCATCTTAATGCTGGCTAGGGAATTTGGCGAGTTGAAGTCCATGTTGGAGCAGGCTGGCTGGAAAATTATAGGGAGTTGAAAGCCATCCATCTTAAAGCATGCTGACTAGGGAATTCTCGGACTTGAAGGCCATCCATTTTAAAGCAGGCTGGCTGGGCAATTCTGGGAGTTGGAGTCTGTTAGGAATAACATGGTTACCTAACTTAGTTTGGGTAAAATAATATATATAGACTGTTAGGGATAACATTGTTTACCCTAACTGGTTTGGGTAAAAATAATAAATATGAAATCATGGTTTGTCAGATAAAGTGTATGTGACTTTAAGCTAAAGGAATGTAATTAAGGGTGCAGCTGTAAAAGTACTATATAAGCAGCAAGGCACTCTCTGGCTCTTACTGGCTGGCTTATTGAAGACTGCGTTCTTGCTGGATCGGGGAGGAGAAGAAGTGTTGGATTACTTTGAAGATATTTCTCAACGGAGAGAAGATAAGTTTTGGACAGATTTATTATATGTGTACTGACACTGGCTATTCGACACGGACTTTGCAATTAGAGTATCCTCGACAAGACTTGACTGAATTTGGTATATGACTAATGGACTGTTTATAATGACTATGCTATAATTCTTAAATGGAATAAATTATAATTTTGATAGCACAAGCGTATCTGTATTTTTACTGCGTGTTAACGAGAAGGCTTATCTCACACATTTACCTGTCTTCCTATCTGACTTCGCTGCACGTTCTGTTTAGTTTGTTTTCCTTAACACCCGTTGGGGAAACCAGGCTTAACACTGGTTATGGGCCCAGAGAGACTGCAAAGTCAGTTTAACTAGGATAAAAACAGGTTTATGTAAAAAGTGAGATTTTGTGTTGTTACACGTTACAGTAAACAGACAGCTGTGTTTTATCAATTATAGTTTTATATCCATATAGTGAAACATGGCACAAGTCAGTCTACAAAGTTTGTCCCTTATATCCAAGCTGGATGGAACAAACTATGTTTCATGGTCTATGAAATGTAGTCTACTTCTACGAAGAGAAGGTCTGTGGAACATAATTGAAAACCCACCAAACGTAGAAGAATGGGATTCTGAAGATGAGGAAGATAGTAAAAAGATAGAAGAATTTAAACAGAAAAATGAACAAGCACTTTGCATCATAGGACTATCATTAACTGATCAACAACTTGTTCATATACGCGGAGAGCAAACAGCAGTTGGGTGTTGGCAAAAACTGAAGAGGATTTATGTTAGAGATAACGTTGGTGCTCACATAAATCTAACACGGAAGCTTTTCCGCACGTATCTCCAAAAGAATGGTGATATGCTGAGTCATTTGAATACTATGAAAAGCATTTTTCAAGAACTTCATGAGAAGGAGTTAATTTTCTCTGAACTACACCGGGTCTACATACCGTATTTATCGGCGTATAACACGCACAGGCGTATAACACGCATCTTCATTTTAAGAGGGAAATTTCACCCCCACTCCCACCCCGCGCGCGCGCTTCAATCCACAGTGTCCCATTCTGCCTGCCTGCCTGCCTGCCTTAGTTTCTGGTTGTTTGGGAGCAGCTTCGGCTGAGAATAATAACTATTCGCCTCTTTTACTCAGCCGAAGCTGTTCCGATTCAACCATTAACGAAGGCAGGCAGGCAGGCAGAACGGAGCACTGCGGGCGGGCGGGCGGGCGGACGGGGTGGGGGAGAAAGGCGACAGGAAAAGCCCCCCCCCCCCCGCTTCTTTGAAGCAGTTTCTTCCTGTGCTGGTGGAGGAGCGAGAGAGCGACTGAGAGAGCTGACCCAGAGAGAAGGACAGGCTTCGGTTGCTTCCTCCCTCCCCTTCTTTCATTTGTGTCCTTGATCCCCGATCCCAGCAGCATTCACCGAAGGCTTCTTAACATTATATCGGCGTATAACACGCATACATCATTTGCCCCCTATTTTCAGGGGGAAAAAAGTGCGTGTTATACGCCGATAAATACGGTAATTCTATCTTCATTAGACGAAAGTTTTGATGACTACGTAACTTCCCTTGAAATATTGCCTAAAGAAAGCCTAACTTTAACTGATATCACTGGCAGATTGATTGAAGAGGCCAGAAGAAGGCTTGAAAGAGATCAGTTAAGGAGGGAGCAACCTCAAAAGGAAAATAATGAATCTCCTACTGCATTCGCAATTAAAAAGTGTTTTAATTGTGGAGGGAGAGGACATTTTGCAAGATTTTGTAAAAAACCAAAACGCCAGAATGCAAGCCAGAATGCTGTAAGCCATCAAAGAAGAAATAAGAATTATGAGTTAGCAATGTATAGTAATGAAGTTGTAAAAAATAATTTATGGGTGGTTGACAGTGGTGCGTCCCACTGTATTACAAATGATAACAAAAAATTTGTAAAAATGTCCATGAGTTCAAAACATATCTCATTGGCAAACGAATGGAAACTGAAGGCAAAAGGTGAAGGTATAGCTCATTGTTCTTTTATAAATGAGAACATAAAAATGTTGTATGTACCTCAACTTAAATTTAATTTGCTTTCAGTTAGAATGTTGGTTAAATTAGGATACATAGTTACCTTTAGGGGAGATACTTGTTTAATTGAAAAAGAAGGTAAGAAAATTACTGCATCTTTAAGAGGTGGCTTATATGTGCTAAATGATAATGGTTTAGAGTTGGCTAACACAGTTTATGATAATAAGAAACCTCATGATGAATGTATTCACTTGTTACACCGACGGCTAGGTCATTTAAATTTTAAAATGATTAAGAGAACTGTTCAACTATCTAAAGGAATAAGTTTGAAACCTTGTAATAAGTATTTGCAATGTTCTGCTTGTAATCAAAACAAAAGCAAAGTTATACCGGCAAATAGAGTTGATGGATTTACTACCAAAGAGCCTTTAGAGGTAGTATTTGCCGATATAATAGGTCCTAAAAAGCCAAGTGTAGGTGGTGCTAGATACATATTAAGCATAATGGACCACTATTCTAGGTATGGTTTCTGTTTTTTAATGAAGAGAAAAACTGAAACGTATACAAATTTCTTTAATTGGTTAAAATTTGCAGAGAGGAAAACTAAAAAGAAATTAGTAACTCTTATAACAGATAATGGTGCGGAATTTACAAATAATAAATTCCAGAGTAGACTTAGAATGGCAGGTATTCAACATAAAAAGTCTGCACCATATAGGCCTCAACATAATGCCTTTATAGAGAGAAGAGGCCAAACACTGCAATCAATGGGAAGAACAATGTTATCTGATTCTGGATTACCTGACAATTTGTGGGGAGAAGCTATAATGTGTGGTAATCACATATTAAACAATGTTGTTAATTCAACAACAGGTGAATTACCATTCACACTGTGGCATGGTAGGAAACCTGATTTGAGTTATATTCACACATTTGGTGCACCAGCATGGGTGCATATCCCTACACAACTCAGGCACAAAGGACAACATAGAGCAAAAAGATTAATTTTTGTTGGATATCAAGCAAACCATAGATCTTATAGATTCTGGGAACCAGGTACATCTAGAGCAGGGGTCCCCAACCGCCGGTCCGCGGACCGGTACCGGGCCGCGGAACAACCCTTACCGGGCCGCTGGTTGCTGGGCGCCGCCATCTTTTTTTTTGGTAAAAAAGCGCTTCCGGGTAGAAAGCTCACCGGAAGCGCTGTTTCGTCATAAAAAGATGGCGGCGCCCAGTTGACGCCGGTACCGGGCCGCGGCGCCCAGCTGATGTCGGAACCGGGCCGCGGCGTCGAAAAGGTTGGGGATCCCTGATCTAGAGTATACTGCAGTGCTAGTGCACAATTCCTAGAACATATAGGATGGAATAGAATAGAGCAAGATACAGATAATGATGTTATTATAGAACCCTATAAGAGGCAGAAGGAAAAGACTAGTTATAAGAAAAGTCCAATTAAAGAAGAAATCCATGAAGAGCAAATAGAATCAGATCAAGAGGAAATAATTGATCAAGAAGAGATAGATAGTCAAGAACAGGAAATAAAGGAAAGTCCACCTGTAAGTCCTGTTATACCTAGACGCACAACGCGTATAACCAAACCACCTGAAAGATATCAGGCAAGTATTATTTGCCAAGTAAATAAAGTTCCTACTAGCATAGATGAACTTAAGATGTATCCTGCTAAGGATCAGGAGAATTGGCAAAAGGCAATGGAAAAAGTTAAATTCATTAAAGGAAATGAAGGTTTATGAAGAAACAAAATTACCTCCAGGAGAAAAATCCATTGGGTGCAAATGGATATTTAAAGTAAAGACTGGAAATAATGGGAAAGTAACTTATAAAGCTAGGTTAGTAGCACAAGGATTTAACCAAAAATGTATTTGATTATGATGAGGTATTTGCACCAAATCTTAAGGCTACAACTTTAAGAGCAGCTCTAGTATGGGCAGCTAAGAATAATTATATAGTTAACCATTTAGACGTAGAAACTGCATATCTGCATGCACCATTGCAGCATACAATATATTTGAAAAAACCAGTTGGTATAAATGATAATAAAGTAAATAGCAATGATTGTTGGAAACTCAAGAAGAGTTTATATGGATTGAAACAATCTGGCTATGAATGGAACCAATATATTGTGAAAGAAT